GACCATTTGAGAGTTATGTCAAGGTCGAGAACGCGTACATTCGTCTTACAGCGCAAAAAGCGAAATAATCATGTCTCGGATACGGGACTGGACCTATGTGCTTGTGAGTATGGTCTCAATGAGCAAGGGGACACGACTGATACTTGTACCTTGACGCCTTGCATGCTTTAGGATTCACCAACGTAGCCTTCAGACAAAGGATCATGGAGGCCTCATAAAGGCAGACAGATGTGCTGGAGTCCTACTGGCGAGACCCTGATGAGCAGGACAATCTTTAGCACAGAGACATCAAACTCATTGGAAACAAGGAAAGACATTACCGTGACCGAGCGAGCTGTGGTGTGGAGGAGCGCGATATAAGACGATTTGGATTCTGCTATGAATTCTCTACAGTCTGTCCGACGCCGATATCAATATGGACAGGAGGACCACTTGCTCAGCAAAAGGGTTGATGAGATCTGGCGTCGCGTCGCGAACGATGAACAAACCCAACACAGAATCACTTGATTCTTTACGGGTTGGCTCATCGGGTTTGATGACGACAACACCAGACCACTCATACCCTCAGCCTTGCTGGGAATCCCGATGCGGGTGATATCCAAATCCACCATCTTCTCCAGTGCTTTACCCACCATCCCCATCATAGGTCCCAGCTGGATGACATCCCTGATCGTCCTCTTTTGTGTGGTCACCAGTGCCATACTTCTCTCAGTCTATATTCATTCCTAGAGGGACAGGGGAATACCTTGTAAAATGCAAGATGTCATTGCTAGAAAACTATGGTGAGCATGTCAGAACACGATGCAGAGTCCCTCAGCACGCCGACACTTCACAATCAGTCGTCCATGGATCCATCTGTTTTGGCTTGATACCTGCCCTCTATCCTGAATGATGGGCCTTCTATTTTAGAGGAGTTCCCAGATGACGCGTTGTTCCTCAGTACTCTTGGTGGTTCTTGTTGACTTAGCTCGGCAAACCGCAATACGATTTAGGAAGATCCCGCAGAAATGCAAGGTACTCTGGTGCATACCGTTCAGGTTACGCTATGCATCATCAGCTAGGAGAGTTGTTATGAAGAGATCCTATGGCTGTATTGATGAACAGACGCACCTACACACGGGCACTGACGACCCGGGAGAGCTTCCTGTCTAGCAAGAGGTCCGAATGATAGCGACCATACGGCGCTCAGCCCACTGGGACTAACGAACGACGACGAAGATGACGACACTACGATGCTCCCACCTCACCGCTAGGTCTGGCACAATCGGTGACTATCCTCGGTCGCTCGCCTTGTTCGATAAATACTCCAACTGAGTATATCGACTGATGATGAGCGTGGACAATCGGATGGTTGAGCTGGTCACGCACAGTGAAACTACAGGTATTCCTAAAAGTTTTCTTCAGCTCCGTGTGCGATGGAAACGGGTTCGTATCCGTACCCTTCCAACGCCTTTTCGAAGTCCCATCGGTAGATATGGGTCCGTTCTTCCAAGGCGCTCATCAAGGAAATTCCGGTTGTTCTTGCGTGGGCGTCAGTTGATGCAAAAGGAGGACGGGGCTGGGAGTGAGCGCCGTCGTCATGATGGAAGAAAAGGAGAGAGGGATGGCGACGAACTCGATGGGCCCACCCGATATCCGAGTCGTCACATTCCGAGTCACAGCCTCTTTCCTTCCTTACCCTCAACGTCCATGAAGCCCTCCACATAACAGTGTTCCTCTTTTCGTCGTTGCGCCTCTCTTTCCAGGACCTTTACCTCTCCAGACGTCGAAGAAGGGAAATAGTGGCAGGCCCAGGAAATGGTTCTGTTTTCCTCTCTTTCTCGTACTGCTTCGCTGACTATCAAGAGCAGCATGCACGTTCTCTCTCCTCGTTCCTTGTCCTGTCTGTACTGGCGCCCAACATACTGGACTGCAAAGCGCAAAATTCAGGGTTGGCTAACCTGTTGATTTGGGAAGGCGGGCGTACGTCGTCCTCGCAGCTTTTACTATCCCGTCAATATTGACACTGGCGCCCAGGATTTGAGCTATTCATTCTGTCAGAGCGGCACAACATGCTCAGCATGGACGACAAAATCCCCGCATGAACTGATCTAGTCAGCCCCACTCCCACCGGAAATTCAGATTCTCTTTCAGCGCACGGCGTGTCTGCAAAGCGGATATATGCGCTTGGAAGGACGGACTGAGACTCATATATACGCTCTTCGTATGCTTTTTCTAAGGGCGAGGGTGCCGCAGTATCTTCAGTGAATCCCTGTCATCAATAACAATGCCAGTTCTTTACGCGACCGCATCGTTCAATAACAGAAAAACCTATCCATGACAAATGTACCGTTGACTTCCAGTGCGCCGACGTGAACGAGGTTCCATTACTCGATTCTCAGCCATCATGTGGAGAAACTCATTCTCAATCGCTTTGAGCGTATTCCAGACAATATCACCATCCTTTCAAATGAATGCTTTCCTGAGGATATCTTCACCGTAAGACCCCAGTACGTGCTGCTTCGCCCCGGCATCAATGCTATCAATTCATCCTCGAGGTCGACGGCATCCGCTCTGTTCCTAGAGAGCAAGTCTCCGTACACTTTGGGCATGTATCGAGTGAGACGCGGCAGATAACCAGTCGAGGAACAGATTCTTTAACTCGCACAACCTGTGTTGTACTCGGAGGCTGTGCGAGATCATTGCCATGAGAAGAGGCTCTCTGTCTATACCACCCATGATTCGCCTATGTAAATCATGTACCTTTCGTGTCCTACCCACTTTCTTCCCATATTATCCTTACGAAAGAGGAAGAAATTTTCATCAGTTGCTTGGAATCAGAGATAGTTGCAAAGATCGTTACGCCAAGGGAGGGTTCGTAGTGCATCCGTCTGAGCACACCTGTATGGGTTCGACTCCCACCCAGATATACGTCCTCATCATAATCAAGTTTTATTTCGTTTTCGCAACCATGCAGGGAGGATCTCAAAGTTGTTGCTCTCTTTGGTACCGGAAAGATGAGTACGAGACAAGGGACAAAAATTTAATGTCTAAAAGCGAAATGAATTTCCATTTGCAAGTGTTGGGATTTTGCCGGAAAGTTCTAGAAAGGGCAATCCGGCATCATGCCGAGAGTTGATGAGTAAGCTCGAGAGAAAGAGAAAGTTGTAGTAAATTCTAGATATAAGCCTGGAGAGTATAAATACAAGCTCTGTAGGAGCTGTAGAATAAGAAGTTCATACAATCTGGCCTTACCAGCCTGGAGTCTACCCTGTGCAACACCAAGGATTTCCAACAGCAAGGAACCAGCCTCAGTCGTGTTACTCAGAAACATATCATCGCGTGTTACTAGCCCATAACACCACGTGCTCTTGAGGGCAGGTTGATACGCGATTAATTGGAACTCCTGATCAACCTTTTCGCGAACTCCATATTGAACGACCAGTGTCCTACTACTACCAGCTCTTCTAGATATTCATCCTTTTCTTCCACTTAATTGTGCTCTCCCAAAAAGGCAGCAGTGGAATTATATTTTACCATCCAACTCAGGAAGCTGCTCTCCCGCTACTTTACTGAGGTGGAAACGAACAAGTTCCGCCTCCTCCAAACTGAATTTGGCATACCCATCTCCAGGTCGAGTGGCATGGTTGGACAGTTCTTGCTGACAGCCGGATACGCGTTCAATCCGCGTGACAGGTAAAAGGGGGATTTTTTCGAGGTTGTTAGCTGGGTATCGGAGGCTATCAGAGTATGTCATGAGAATTTGCTTCTGACCGGATACCACTGTCGCGGTATCACAGACGTTTATGATTTTTCTCGCAATGGCATCAAAGTTCAGTTGATCACCTCTAAGAAGTCTCTGATGGAAGTCATTCTGTCTTTTCACTCAAGTAAGCATCCTATATCTCTCTGATTATATGTTCAACATTGTTGCAACTGTCCCCATGAATGTCATCAGTCATTCTCACGCACGCATATTTTTTGTTTCCGAAAGCCACGTTTGATGAAAAGCATGCCCTGATCATTACCACGAGTGGCTCGGGCCAAGAAGTTGGGAGGAACAAGTACCATGGCCGAGGATGAAGGCTTTTCCGGTATGCTTCTGCCTTTGAGTCGACCGATCCAGAATCCGATTTCCAAGTTGGCATGAGATGGGTCGGTGATAGGAAGTGTCTAACCTTGGCACTGCCGCCTATTCCTTCGTTGGGCGCATTCGTCCAATTTCCGTACCTCATCCACATCAACTCATGGAATATGAAGTACGATCGAGATTGGTAGTGATGCTGCGCTGGAGTGGTTGATGAAGCCAAACATTCTGTATCCAGCAGCGCTGAGCTTTTGAGGCCGTTTTTCTTTTTAGTCCATGGCTGATACCTCTGGTATGTTTGTGGTAGTTGAAAGAAACAAAAATCCAAGGCTGCCTCATAATGATCAACCACGGAGCGCTCTAATAACAAATGAGAAAGTGGCAGAGCACTCATCATAAGTCGTAGAAATATAGAATAAGTAGTTTCTCACAGTCACATTAAGGATGAATGCAGGTAGAATTCATTCTATCGGGCCAAATACTTAGCATTGATAATGATTTCGGAGAAACGGGTCGTCACGGATATGTATGGTCTGGTGGTCTATGGAGGCAACTTTTGGGAACTCAATACACATAATTCCTACTTTTATAGATATTAGTAGCAGAAGATGAGAAAAGGGGGGAAACAGCGCGTGGTGGACGCGACGCGAAGGCGATGAAGGGAGTCAACGTTTCAAGGCTGCTATTTGAATTTTGTCGTAAAAGAAACAAGTTTAGATAGGGACTGGGCAGTCGAAAACTTGCTCACAATGTCATTTCTGAAGAAAGAGGCCGACCTCGGACCCGAAGAAAACTACAGCAGTACTGCAGCCGCTACGGACACGGTCATGTGGTCGACAGATAAGGAATTGTCATGTGATGTTTACCTTTCGAAACGGAAAATTCAAATTTCGACGAGGTGCGACTCTCGGCGTCAAGGTTGGCCCTCAGCCCCATGTCGGCCAAGGCCTCTCTATCTAAGTCCTTTCCAATTGTTCATCTTCGTTTCGACAATACTGGTAGTTTTCAGATTACCCAGGATGTTATTTCGTCGTCTAGGGCGACCCGCCTTATCAGCGACAACGGGCGATTCTTGAAGGTGAGCTTCCCGACAACGCTGAAAGACAATTTTGTCCGGCAGCTCCTTGCGGATAAGATCAAGAGCGGCATTACTATCGGAAGCAAGAAGTGAGCCCTAAACTATAATTCAACTCCGCCATTATGTTAATCTGATTCCGCGGAGGTATATCTTCTTTGGGTATACTGAAAGTCAATTGAAAGAAAGCCGTGTCCTTTTCTTTCAAGAAAGGGAAGACTGGACGGTGCACAGTCTCAAGGCTGCATTTGGAGACTTGAACTCCGTGTATCGGCTGCACGGATATGGAAAGTATGCCGCACGTTTGGGGTTGTCTTTCTCTTCGACCGATCCGTCGCTTGAGGTGCGTACTAACATGACATTCTAATTTCTTCCCATTTACTAGCGCCGATAGGTTGGCTTGGAGGAACGTTATCTCCTGGATGACCTCATAGCCAATGATGGTTCCGACTGTAGCGACGGGTGCGTCTCATACCGCATTTTACCACTTCCCAGGTTCTTAAAGGTCGTAGCTGTGGTATGATACGCGACTCATTCGCTAAACAAGTCTGCTCTACCATTGGGGCGAGTGAGGACACCTGTGGTGGGTCCTCAAATGTCTCCTGTCCGTTTTCCATTTAGACTTTTAACTCCCCATATAGTCTTTCAAATACGACTGGGGGGCATAAAGGGATTGTTCGTCAGGTACAAGGACGAGGACTTCGACCACATTTGCGGCAGTGCTGGGGCTAAAGTCGCCTATCGCCGCTCCATGTTCAAATATGAAGGCGGACCTTCGACGCTCGAAGTTCGAGATATCAATCGTCCGCCCCGTAGTGCTAGGCTCAGTATTCAGTTCATCGTCCTTCTGATGACCTTGGGAATTTCGTTTGAGGTATATTTGAGTTTTAGGTGTCTGCTTATGCTATATTTAAGATGCGTACTACAGGTCTTCGAATCTCTTCTTCGGAAGCAACTTGATGACCTCGAGCAGATCATGGTCAATAGACAAAAGGCGATGGACTGTGTGGGTGGAGAGTTAGATTCAGAAGGAAAAGACTTCGACCAAGAACGTAAGTACAGTCAACCAATATATGTCAGCTGATCTCTGATCTTCATGCATCCTTATAGTATCCGAGATGCTTCTCGCTGGATTTGATTTGAACGAAGGGCATCTCGCGTGTCTATTGAAGCAATTCCAAAAACGTTCGCTGGACGCTCTCCGTACGAAATTGCACATTCGTGTAAAGGTTTGTTTTTCATCTATTCTTCACTGTAGGCATTCTTTTGAGTGAGATCGGAGGACTCGGCCTATCTGTTTGGAGTCGTAGACGAGCTTGGAATATTGGAGGAAGGTCAGATATACATCAACCGACCTTATCAAGGAGGACCGCAGGTCGGGACATTCGTTGTCGGCAGGAATCCTGCCTACTCCCCCGGTGGTTGGTACCATGAACGATGTTCATTTTCCATGAACTGACTTGCCCTCTAAAAGATCTACGACGATTGGAAGCCGTAAACATCCCTGAGTTATCGCATCTCACCAATTGCGTTGGTATGCGTCAACATTTTGGCTTGCACCTTCTCCATTCCTTATTCCTTCTTAGTATTTGCCGGTAAAGGAGGGTATAGCGAGCCTAACCAGATGGGCGGCGGGTGCGTACCGCGTCACTGCGATGGGGAAGTAGACTCTGACATCATCGCAGTGACCTGGATGGAGACCGCTATCTTATTATCAAGGACCCAGATCTTGTCCCGGACCCTGAGGAAATACGTCGACCTAAATTGAAATCGGACCCGACACCGTCCGGTCCCAGTACGACCCTAGTTGAAGATGATACGTCTTCCAGTGACGACGACGACGACGAGTCATACAGTGCATATGCCACGCCATTCAGTGAAGATGACGCGTCTTCTAATGCATATGCGAGCCTGTCACAGATGAACAAAGATGCGGTCAATGTCTTTATGAATCTTCGAGGAAGTCGCCTTCTCGGTCAAATGTCTAATGCTTGGATGAGTCAAGTGGGGAAGACAGAGGAGCTTGCCGATCAAGCGTACTGTGCTGGTCTTGTTCCACTTATTGAGAAAGCGCTAGTGCGTATATTATCCCTGTTGTTAAATTTCGAGCATTGAAACGTGGATTAACAGGATATTGCCAAGACCGGCGAGGACATCGAATCTGTCAAGAAGGAGTTCTATGCACTCAAAACACTGAGGCATGCACCAAGGTCCGATCACTGGAGGGATCCTATCGAGCAGCTTCAGAGTCTTGTTCCGAATCCTCCTGGCGATTCGCAAGACGACTTTCAATGTGATCCCGACTTGATTCTCGAGGGGATCGCACCGCGCGAAGACTGGGACAGATGCATTGCTGAAGGTCGCAGATCTATGGGGGCGTTTAACCAAGCGCTGCACCGCGCTATTACCAGTGATAAAAAGAACAAAGGTACCCATCTTTGACTGACGTAGTGATAAGATGGCTCTGTCTAATGGTACCTCTGCTACTCCTATAGATAGCCAGTCTTCAAGATCTAGTAGCGCCAAAGATAATGAGACTGCTGCCGAAAGGGTTCGACAGGAATACATTCAACATTACTTTTGTATGTTCAGACTGGTCAATTACATGAGAAGACTCATCCTACGCATATAGCTGTCAAACATATCCTCGATGACCCACCTAAGCTCATGCTTCGGGCGTCTGCCTGGTAGAGAAGGATTCCCTCTCCTGTCAAGGTCATACACTAAGATCTTATCAAGGTATTCTGTTGGATACGAGAACAGAAAGCCTGCGTTCTCGTGGTTGGGTCTTCGATGGCTGAATTACATCAAAGGCTGTAAGTTACCCGAATCTCCGACATTGCAGACTCGTTGCTTTTTCTGACTTTGGTTGTACTCATGTTAGTACGATCTGGAATTACACCGATTAGTGTTGGTACGACTCAGAAACCTCTGATTCCGGCCTGCCATGAAGGGACAGAGGATAACTCGTCATATTATGCATCAGCCACATCTGTGGTCGACGGTGGGTCTCTTGCCGCTCGCCAGCTCAGGATGTTCACAGCCTTTACAGGTGCTGATAGCGATTCGGATGCCGCCATGCCCTCAGTGTCCGATGACGCTGTTTTGCCTGCAGACGAGGACCTACTTCCACCATCTCCAATATCTCGTCCTGGTCCCCCTAGACGGGGTCTTCGCCCGTCCTTCGGATTGAGCACGGACAACTTGGAACCTATTCTCGCAAGGCCCGTGAGTCCACACCTCTCGTCTCCTCCACCAACGCCCCCTCCCACCACACGACGTGCTGAAAAGGCAAGAGCCACGAACGCAGCATCTTCGTCTTCCAGTCCTCGGCGCAGTACACATCGAACATCAGGGCGAAACACCAATACGAGCGACGCTTTTTCTTCGAGGCCTTCCACTTCCATGTCTCCTCATCCTTCTCCTCAGCAAGCGACTCCTCATCCCGAAAAGCCGAGAGAACCTGTTGCTTCAAACTATCCGAAGTGCAGCAGCATACCCGACGGCCAGCACGAGTGGAAGATTACTGCAAATGCCTCCCAGCGCATATACACGTGTAGGAGCTGCGCTATCAAAGTGAAGGAAAGGGCCTTGAAAGTCCTGCCCAGCGATGGCAGACGATGGGGGGCCTTTAGCGTGACTTCTTAGTCCGACATTCGAAGTCGATCCTGTGTCTTTCTTTTTTTATGACCTTGTTGTACATTGTTCCTCTCCGAATGTCTGCTTCACCCAATCCGCTGCGATATCTATCTCCTTCCACACGCTTCCATTTCAAGTTCACTGTTTGCTTTGGTTCTCGGTCGATGCTGTATGTTGCGATGTCTTCTGAATATGTGTACCACCACCTTTTCTTTTCATCGTACTGATGTGTGTTTTACGTAGCGTTTCAATCTGACTGATATGGGTTTACATTGCTAATTGGTACTGACTTCTACTCTGCATAGGACCGTTCGCACAGGCAATTCGAAAGAGGCAAATTGTTTGGTACACGTTGGAGCATGCGCATAGCGCTCAGAAAGATATTTCTGATGATTCAAGGTAGTAGGCTAAGGCCAATAGAGTCAAAAAAAAAAAAATTGCAGTGCCGATTCAAGCTATTTGAAGGGGAAGTTTCAGTCGCGTAGCAACCTGCCCTAAAGAGCAGCCCGGATGCTTTTCGGTTTCAATGGTGGCTGTTGCAGCTTAGCGATTCGGCCTCAGACCGCGTGTCCTTACCATTGTGAGTTACCAGCTATATTTTCGTTTAATGATAAGCTGTAATTCGGAATAATTTGTTCTATGCTTCCGGCAGAATTGTACCATGTTGTAACGGACTCGCCGTGCCCATAGAAGTGCAGCCACTCTCCAGGCTTCTTTCGAAGCCCCTGCCTCGCTATACCTCTGGAGGCGAATGTCCTTCTAAGGCGCCTTTCCTCTTGGAAACTCTTGATGAACCGAACAGTCACGACTTTTCAGGAACAGATGCGCGACTTTTCGGTTTTCTAGATATCATTTCTAGAAACAGCGTCCTCGCTTCAACGGATGCAACAAGACTCTCACCCTTTTATCACGCCTATGTGGTCCACCCTAATCTGAGCGTTGTGTTATACATGCTTCAACGATGTTGAGATCTCGTGAGTGGTGCTATCTTTCGTGATATCCGCGTTTCTGCGCTTACTGAGTGTTTGAAGGTTTAGATCGGTCCGTGGTGCTTTCTCGCCATCGGTTCGCTGATGAGTTCGATTTAACAAGAACAACCGATGAGGTCATATCTCATGCCAAAGCACGAGCGCTTGGATATCACAACATTTGTTTAGCCTCTCAGTCTGCTGTCAGTGGGATAGACCCCACGTTCGCTGAGGATATAGATGACCTGAAGATGCAGGAAGCAGCCGCTTCATCAGCCGCTCTTCATCTCTCCAACGAGATCAAGAAACTACTTCGCTGACACCAGCAAAGGCCTCAACAGAGCTGCTGCTGCTACTAAAGCTATCCTTCGCGGTGCTAATAGCGAACCACATACAGGAATATGTGACGCTGTAGTCGTACTTACGACAGACATGTCTCGTGCTCCCTTCGTCGAAGTCCAAGATACCCAAGTTCATCAGCAGTCCTGAGGACGGCCAGGAGGGTCTTTTCACTTGGCAGTTTGCTCCGGCCGGCCTTGGCGGGCTCGGCAAATCCGATTTGACTCACATCACATGATGCAACGCGTCCATCGCGTCATCGTGGTTCCGGTGGTGACTCACCCCCGAAAAGCCGGTCTGGGTATATAAAGGACTTGGACTGGACTGGTGGACTTTCTTGTAATGGAGGGATACGCTTGCCTTTCGCCTGCACCCTACCATCCCTCCCCCTCCCCCCCTCGCAAGCACGCCTATCAGATTTCGTGTCCTTCTCACGATGCGGAGGCTTTTTAATCACTGAGCGCTGAGCCATACTGCGCTTGCTTTTCTTGAGTCTCTGGGTTGCACTGCGCTTTCTTTTTACCTTTCATCCACTATGTCTCTGTCTGGAGCGAGGAATTTCGAACCTTGAACACGCTCTTTTCTGGCATTTTTTCCCACTCTGTGCCGTTGATTTCAGAATCTGTTCTTCCCAGCGCCAGCATCATCATGACATCTTTCGAAGCGCATCTCGAGCTTCGAAGTCTTAACATGACACACAGGTCTCGCTTAATTGTTTTTTCGCCAGTTCTGTTTATACAATCAGTGTCTGAGTTTCATCGACATCTTTCGGTGTTTCATAAAGCCCAATTCTAGTTAGCTGCGTGCTCTTTCATCGATGGTTATCAGGCTTCCTTTGAATCACGCAGTCTGGCGTGCGCTCACTGGCTGCGCTCTGTTCCATTCACCGATTCTTCTCAGGAGCCTGCGGCCCGCGCGCCTATGCTCCACATGTGCACTTGACAAATCCTTACGGCTGCGGCGCTCCTTTCTATGTAGATTCAGGAGTGTACCGTTCCCTCGGGCGGTGATAACATCCCGTATGACTGGGCTCGACGAGCACCGCAGGGTCCCGCCACTGTCATCCGGTTGCTACAGACACTGCAGGCTCAGCACGTTGCAAGCGGGAATGCGTCGGGACGGTCATCTAATACTTGGGTCTGAGGCGCTGCACCATGAGGCCGTCCAGAGAAGGATCAAGCGCGATCTTGACGCCTGTTTTTGTCAGCAAGGAAGTCACGGATGATTGGTAAGATAACTCCTTTTGGCAGTCCCGGATGCGCCACTGAGATATATGACTCGAATCTTGGAAAACGTGAGTCAGACATTGAGATTCAATGGGAAGATTTTGAGGACACGAGGGCTCGTAAAGCACAGCATCGAGGTCGGAAATGAAATTTTTGAACGCTAGATAGGCGCTTGAATGCATGGAAAGGGTACCGGAACAGCCTCGGAAGGCACCGAGTCGATGGGATAGCGGAGTTTGAAGTTAAAGCTGTGGACGGATAACCTTTATAATCTGGGTCGAGTCACATTTCTGACGTTAAATTCTTTTCCCCCCCAACTCTCACCTCGACGCTTGCGCAGATTTTTTCTGCTCGGGGTGTCTGACTTGCTCAGTAGGTGTCTATTGAGTCAATCGTGAGTCAATTTCTGTTAAGATCTGTGTTGCTGCTTTGGCCTACGCTGGGGCAATTAGCGCAGCAATCAATTATTTGTTCGCCATTTTCTGCATTTTATTCTTCAATAATGGCTGCAAGCGCAGACACTGCCGAGCGCATTACCATATGGCGACATTTGCCTCCAGCATCGTTACTGTTTTCGCCGGCCAACATTGCTGACAACGATGAGCTCATGAACTCAACGCTGATGATGTTGAACAGCCCTTCTAGGTCGCCCTCAGTGTTGCCTAGGCCGCCATCTTCATCGTCCTCTCTACCCGTCGCAATTTCGGACCTCAGACACAACGCTTACATCACTAAGAGCCAAGATGTTCGCTTTGTGAATACCTCGGCCACTTCGTGTCCATCGTCGTCATCGGCAACTCGTAATGCCTCAACAGGGACCCCTCTTGAAAGTCCCCTTTCAAGCTTCCCTTCTCCCCACCATGACTTGATAAATCACCCCTTGTCTACCCCTTCTCGGGTATCGTTTGATCAACAAGATCTCGCCTCTCAGCATGGCATACCAACGGTTCTTCCACAGCCACCGAATACAGCACCTCGTCGCAACAACCAGTCAAAACCAGTTCCTTCACCACTCTCGCAGTTCGAGATTCTCCAGCGCAACTATCTAGCTATGTTAAATCAACCATCATCTTCTAATTCGACTGTCGACACTCCAGCGTCAATGCAGTCACTAACGGTAACCCCGGCCGACCTGCTGGCCACAGCAGGCGACGACTTTAGCGAAGAGCTAGGTGATTGGGCATGGTTATTGTTTGAAGATGACTGACTCACTGACTTCTTCTCGCTAGGCTCGTCGCCCATTTTCAAGGACCTCGACGAATTCCCTGCTGGGAACTTCCTTACGGGTGCGGGCACATCGCCGCTGCTCGATACTCCCTACAGTGACACCTTCGACTCGTTTGAAGCCTCGCCGTTTGATACTCCTCTAGACTCTTTCCTCACGACCCCCATATTCCAAGACGAAGCCCCCTTGATATCAGAAGGGGATGAGACCATGTTCCGCTCGTACGAAGAACTCATGGCGGCTCCGGCACCGCCTTCCCTTCCGGCGAAGGCTCCACAGCTCCCGGATGTCACAAAACTATACACAATGTCCCCGAGCTCGCCGGCCGTTGATTTCATAAATCCCGCTTCCGTCTACCCCTCTCCCCTCCTCTCTGCTGACCCATCCGCCCTACGTCCCTCGTCTTCCGCTGCTGCTCCCGCTGCCACCAAACCGACAAAATCTGCTCCTCGCAAGTCGTGGGCGACGGGCACACGGAAAAACATCACCCCCGAGACCATGGTACCACTCGATGCTCCCACGCAGGCGCGGCGCTACGTTCTTCCCTCGGCGACATCAAGGAAGGAAGTTCCCGCGACGTTCGCCAAGAAGCGGTCGCGGTCGACGGCGCTTGGGGATGAGGAGGAAGACGAACTCGACCCTCCGCCCCCTGACGCTACGGACCGTGAGCTGATCGAGTACAAGCGGCGGCAAAACACTTTGGCGGCGCGGAAGAGCCGGAAGCGGAAGCTCGAGCATCAGCAGCAGCTTGAGGAGAGGGTGGAGATGCTGACCCTTGAGGTGGAGCAGTGGAGGACGAAGGCGGAGATCTATCAGAGCATCTTGCTAAGTCACAATATTTCGTTCCAGTCATGAGCCAGCCAGCCAGCCAGCCAGCCAGTCATCATCATACCCGTCCCCCCCCTCCCAATCTTTTTTTCCCCTAGACTCCCCCAAGTTCGACTCGACACATTTTCAAGTCGCCTAAAGTCTTCGAATGCTCGTTGTATATTGTTGTTTGGCATCATTCACCCCCACCCACTTGATAAGAGCGTCGTCGTACCCCCTCCCCTTCCCTGTAAAGAGCGATTGATTGATCTTTAAGTAGTAGTATCTGTTTTGTTATCTTCGTTTTTTTACGTACCCTTTTTTTTCCTTTTGAACAAAAGTTGAGTAGTTTGATTTGTGATGTGATATTTGATATAACCCCCTGCGTATGTATATACAATTATGATATGTCCAATGATGATAAGAATGTGATTATATGTGAAGTTGCGTCCTTGGAGGGCTGATCGTAAAGAAATTAATCTGCATTCTGAGAGCCTGAGGTTCCGAGTCAGAAGGGTCGAATGACCTGCCCTAAATGATGTTTCTGACCTCTTTCGCCGATCAATGGTTTCTGCAATATTCTACTTACTTACGGCTGTCTGGTGTAGTGGCCTAGCAGATATCAAAGAGCAAGAATGAGACGTGGATAATATATAACTCCTGGGAATATTATATTGTATTTATCGTAGACTTCAGTTCAGAGTCGTCAGAGGCTAAATTGATGACGGACATCCGAGGCCGTTAGGAAGACAGTCTTAGAGGTGGATTCAGATGCGGTGGATGGGGAGTAAACTCCACTTCCGGTGGGAAGTATATTAAAAACCACGGCTTGAATTACATAAGCTCCTTCGATGGTCAGCAAAAGTCGAGGTTTCAAATCGGGGATCAGGTTAGTACCACTAACAGAGGAGATTTAAGATATCTGACACGAACAACATGAACGACTGTACAATGTCCCATGCACCATGCACGCTCTGCCTCTGTTTCTTTCACCAAATCCGACTCCAGCTCCAGTACTCTCTCAGCCCCTGTCCGACAGCTTCAGAAATTCTGTTCATGAAAAAAAATGATGAGCGGACCAGTCCACGCTCGCGTGTTTATTGGTCGAGCATAACGAGGGATTTCAAGTCTCCGTAGCGCTTTTACCTCTGGAAGAATAGATGGCGATATCGATAACCCTCCCACCGTCGATAAAGATATCCACCTAGATGCTGCTGTCTTAGAGGCTATGCTCAATCATGCCACTGAAGACGACCACGTCGCTATGTCGCATGTGCAATATCTACCCCTAGCCAAGATGGTAACTTTGAGGAACTGATAAAACTAGCGAATACTTGGGTCCCCGGTATCTCTTGTGGCCCTGTAAGTGGCCACTCATTTTGTAATGGACAGTATTAACAGCCAATTATGAAAGTCAAAGCGAATAAAACTGATCTTAGAGATCTGCATTCTGCCTTGGAGTTTGCTGCACCGACTCTCGACAATACTGAAATCCTCGTTTCCGAGGGTAAGCGCGCACATCTTCAGTCGTTCGAAGATGCGGTGCATATCAAATATTGGCATCGAAATTCAAATGGATTGTGCTCATCTACGTCCTTGCGGGTGAAAGGACGTGATGGTTATCGCTGCGTTGTAACACAAGTCATCGGTTGGGACAATGTTCTCAAGGGATTCGGATTCGGATGAAGTAACAACCAGAAAAGAAAAAATATAGATAGATATTCTAA